TGGAGTATCGATTTTTTTAGCCAGCGATCCGAAGACCTGTCTTATGGTGTTTTTTTGAAACGAAAAGTCACTGCGTTAAATTATACTTCCCAAACCTTCCACATCTTTCCGAATTGATTTCGTACCGTTTTCAAGAAGTTGGATATCCGGTTTGTCGGTCACTGCATGTTTTGGGTCGTTATCAGTGTTACTTTTATTGTTTCAGTGGTGCTTTTGTCGTTAACGTTTGTCCTGGTACCAATTTTCGAACTTGTCGATGTGTATTTGCATATCTTTTCATTATTACTATTTGCAATGGCGCAATATCTGTCGGCGCGATACGTTCAGCTGGAGCAGAACGGCGATCCGGATCTGAAATTGGACGATTTTACTAAATTAGAACGGCATGGGTTTCATATCCTTGCGCAGGTGTGCTCCAGTCCCGTGATTTTTCACTTTGAAGATTTTTATGCAATAACTAGCGCTCATTAACTAACTGATTGGCTAATTGAGCGATCGATCAGTTGATTTGCTCACTAATTGATCAGTTTTGGGCGCAATATTTCTTCTTTCAGTTGGTGCTTTGTGTGGCGCTGAGCTGCCTTCTGGGACTGAAAAGTGATTTGGCTCGAGTTTCGCTCGCGATATTTCTCATCCCAGTGGTTGCTCGCATGTGCGCAATGCCTGTGAATCGTCTCATAATAGCGCATAATGTGGCATGCTCAATAGCAATGCTGCTCATCTGCATATATGTGCTGAACCGTGTGCCAACCCTGCTCGCCTGTATACAGCATCTGTTCTGGCATCTCAAAAATATTTTAATCTTCCGAGGCATTAGAGGGGGTAAGTTTCTTTTTCCTTTTTTGTTAAATAAAAACTTGCTGCATGCAAAAATGTTATGTTCATGCATTAGTTGAAGATTTTTAACAGTGCCAAGGCCCCTCTTTTTGTCGCTACCCTCTGGACAGTCAGTATGGGGATTTGTTATTAATGATGTTACTTGGATGTTGCCATACGTTAGGCACAGCTGTACTATCCAGCTCGATCCTGAGTTGCATAATTGCAATTAGTGCCCATTGGCTGTTCAGTGTAGGTGCGCCAACTTTTCGTACCGTCCTGAGCAATCGTTTGTTTCCTCGTG